AAATACGTTGTAAGCCTCAAAATATAACAACACGATATCTACTAAGGTAAATTCTAAAGGAGAAATTGCAAAAATGTCATTTTTATGTGCATATTTGCAAAAATTCAACACACTAAAAAATGTTTTGACCCCTAAACCTCCCCCAAAACCCTCATAACTAAATCCTAATAGAACATAATTAACCCAAAAATAAATAATAGAAAAAAAAATAATTTTGAAAAAATAGCATTTTTGTAAAAATTTCAAAAGTGTGAAATTTTTGTAAAGTGGCATTTGAAAAGTGACACATTTTAAAATCTCTCAGTTCTAAAATCAATCCAATTTGACTACTTTATTGGGCCAGAATATTAATTTTCTTATGTGCGAAAGAATATTTTTGTTCTCAAGTTGTTTTTCTTTGGTACACTTACACAACGTATTTTGTCTTCACTAAATTCCTAATGAATTTCAACTATTATACAAATTAGATAAACACCTGTGTATACATGCATATTTTTATTAATACTTTTTTTTGTCAACCAAGCGTACTTCATTAATCAACTGATCCAAGTACAAGAGGAGGGAATTAAACATCTTCCAACATTAATACAACATAAATGACATGCAATAAACCATAAAGCATATAGATCATCGTAGAAGATGTACGGTGGATCTAAGACATGCCTCGGATGCGTCAGGAGAGAGTTCGCGGCAACGCCAAAGAGTCTCAGGTTATTGACTTTCCAGTATGACTTTGAAGATCCCGGCATAGAGCTCGGGGAGTCGACCATTCTCAAAAAAAGGGAAGAAGATACGACCAATCTCAAAGAGATGGAAGAAGGTGGAATTGAACTCTTCCACCGGGAGAAAATTACGGGATTTGAAAATCTAGAAAACTTTTGTCTTCTCTCAATAGAAGAGGTAAAATCCGTAAAAACTACAGAATTTGAGAATCCAGAAAACTTTGTTTTTCTTAATGAAGAAAAACCATCAAGCTCATAAGCATATAAGATTTTCGAAAATCTGCATTTTAAAAGCAATTGGGTTGGGCCTGTTGATTTAGCTAGCCCAAAAATTATACTCTTACTGGGCCAAGCCCACATCATTGAAATTGGGCCTAAAGGCCTAAACTTAAACTAATTAACCTCATGGGCCAAGCCCAGATCTTATCCCTCTCGGAAATAAGGGGAGCCGTTGGGTTTATGGACAACGTCTTGTAACGCCCGACCACCATCGAGTTATCAGTATGCAGGGGAAATCCTCATCCCCTCGAGAGAAATCCTCATCTCTCAATAACATATAAGGGAAATCATCATCCCTTCAGAAGAAATCTTCAT